CTCCCGTGCTTTCAGAGTGCCTTTCTTGATGCATTTCTTTATTTTACTTGAATGTAATTCAAATAAACTGATACTACATGTTTTATTCTAGATTATCATCCCTGTAAACCTTACTATTTTGAATAATTAAGTGCTGGCTTAGATTATTGAATTTGTATAAATATTACCTTCTGTGTGTGTGTTATATGACATCAAGTAAATTTTCATCACAGAGACTATATAGAACTGACCCATAGGCTTTTCTAGGTTGTCTTTAGGGGAGTAAATGGTCAGGTCTTTTATCCTGCAAAGCCACTAAGTGACTGTTATTGTTGTTTATTGCCTTCGAGTTGAGCACAATTCATAGTGAACAAAAGGCCTAAAGCCCCTCTACAACTATCGGCATTTATCAAAGTTCATAGTTTCCAAAGGCATGTTGTTTAGGAAGTGGACGTGGCTCCTAGCTTTCAAACTAAGTGACTAGAACTCACAAACTTTTGTTTAGCTGTAGGTGCTAAACCATCTCACTATCAAGGTTTCTTATATTGGGACAGTCATGTGGGTCAGTACCTTTTGTATATTCAGATTTTGTTAATTGATCCACTTAATATTTGCCTTTCTGGTGGTATGCAAGGAGCTGAAGACTAATATTACAAGAGTTAGCAAGAATCATCAAAAGCCTTTAGTGAACTTTATCTTAATGGGAAAAGAGATGTCAGTGACAGAATCACAGCAATGAAGGAAGCATCAACACATAGTGAAATATACCATGATAAAAAGTATAGAAAGGATATTTGTGGAGCTTAGAGATTAGACTTGACAGATTGGGTGAGAAAAGCCTTTCTAGGTAAATGATGTTTAACTGATTAATGTGAGAGAGAAGTTGCGTTGTTGTTAGCTGTCATTGAGTTGTCATTCACTTGAGGTAGGTAACCTCATGTGAAATGCTGCCTGATCTGGCACCACCCAGTGAGCCCCTGATGGTCTATTGACGTGACTGTTGTAATCCTCAGGGTTGTCATTGACTGATTTTGGAAGTAGGTCCCCAGAATTCTGCTCAGCATCATAGCAACAATCAACCACTAATGGGCTAGTTAGTGGTGGCCACCCATGATGTGGGGTAACTGAGAATCAAACCCAAGTTCTCCAATATTGAAGGTGAGAATCATATCACTGAACCACTAGTGTTCACAGGCAAAGAAAAGTAGTCAGGTGGAAAATGTAGTAGTGGCATTTGGTTATAGGACTAGTATTACCAAAAGTACTGAGTCAAGAAAGTGCTCTTCAGTTCCTACAGCTGGACGGTCGATGCAATGAGTAAAGGAAAGTGGCCTTGAGATGTATTAGCTTTAGACTCCGTTTCATTGAATGCTGCTTAAAAAAATTTGCCAGAGGAGTGGAATTACTTAATTTATGTTTTTACAAGATCATGGCCCTGCCAATTGGTCCAGTGGTGAGAATCTTTATCTTCTTGATGTTGAGCTTCAATCCATTTTGAAGACTACAATCCTTGAATTTCTGCAACAAGTGCTTCAGGTCTTCAGTTTCAGCAAGCAAGGTTTGTGTCATCTGCATAATGTAGGGTGTCAATAATTCTTCCTCCAATCTTGATATCACACTCCTCCTCATAAAGCCCTGCTTCCTGAATGATCTGCTCTGCATATAGATTGAAAAGGTATGGGAACAGGATGCATCTCTGACACACTTCTTTCCTGATTTTGAGGCATGCAGTGTTTCCTTGCTCTATTCTGAGGACTGCTTCTTGGTCCAAGTATAAGTTTTGCATAAGCGCAATCAAGTGTTCTAGAACTTTCATTTTCCTCAAGGTTAGCCACAATTTGTTATCCACGCAGTCATATGTCTTTGCATAGTCAATGAAACACAGATAGACATTCTTCTGGTATTCTCTGCTTTTGGAAAAGGTCCAACATTGGCAACCTGGTGCCACAACCTCTTTTAAACCAGCTTGTATTTCTGGTAGTTCTCTGTCAATGTACTGTTCAAGTCTTTTATGGATAATCTTCATCAGGATTTTGCTAGTGTGTGATATTAGTGATATTGTTCAGTAATTTCCACACTCTGTTGGGTCACCTTTTTTTTGGAATGGAAATGTATGTGGATCTCTTTCATTCAGTTGGCCAAGTAGTTATCCCCCAGATTTCTTTGCACAACTTGGTGAGCCCATCCAGGACAGCATCTGTTTGCTGAAATATATCAATTGGTATTCCATCAATTCCTAGGGCTTTATTTCTTGCGAAGTCCTTCAGAGCAGCATGAACCTCCTTCTTCATCATAGTTGCCTCTTGCTCATATGTTGTTTCTTGAAATTCCGTGTCAGCCACTTCTTTTTGGTACAATGGCTCTGTATACTCCTTCCATCTTCTTTTACTACTTCCTGCATTATTCAATATTCTGCCATTGCAGCCTTAAACATTGAAACTCGTGGCTTGAATTTATTCTTTAGTTCTTTCTGCTTAAGAAGTGCTGAGCAAATTCAGCCTTTTTAATTTTCCTACTCCAGCTACTTGCACATTTCATTATATTTTGCCTTGTGTTCCTGAGTGGCCCTTTGAAATCTTCTATTTAGCTCCTTCTTGATTTCCTCCATTTGTTTTGGTTTCTTGGTGCTCTAGTGCAGTATTCAGTCTCTTCTGAGATCCATTTTGGTTTTTCCTTCTTCTTCCTTCTTTGTAATGATTGTTTGCATTCTTCTTAAACGATATTCTTTATATCTTCCCACAGCTTATCTGGTCTTTATTCATTAGTGTTCAAGGCCCTAAGCCAATTCCTGAGTTGGTTTTTAAATTCATGGAGGATAGACTCAAGGTCAAATTTTTATTCCTGTGGATATGATTTAACCTTCTTTAGTTTTAATTTGAAGTTGCATTTGAGAAATTGATGGTCTGTTCCACAATCAGCATCTGGCCTAATTTTTACTGCTTCTATTGAAGTTCTCCAGTGGTTCCCTCCACAGATGTAGTCAGTCTGATTCCTTTATGTTTCTTATAAAAGATACTTGCTATGAATAAATCATTGATTTTACAGAATTCTATCATTCTATCCCCAGCTTCATGTCTATCACCAAGTCCATACTTTCTAACTGCTGATCCTTCTTCCTGATTCCCAACTTTTGCATTCCAGTCACCTATTATTATTAATGCATCTTATTTACATGTTTGATCAATTTTTTACTTCAACAGGCTATTCCTCCTCTTTGACTCTGGTTATAGGCACATAAATTTGAATGATAGTGGTATTAACAGGTCTTTCTTGTATGTGTATGGATATTATCCTATCACTCACAATATTGTATTTTCAGATGGATCTAAAAATGGCCTTTTTAACTATGAAAGTGACCCAGGTTTTTTTCCCCTCACCTTTTCATCTCCAGCATAAGAGATCATTTGATCATAGGATTCAGAATGTCCCATGCCAACCCATCTCATTTCACTAATAGCCAATATGTCAATATTTATGCATTCCATTTCTTTCTTTACAATGTCTAGTTTTCGTGCATTCATGCTTTTCACATTCCACGGACCAGTTAATTTCTTCTTAAACTGATTCTCCTCCATTGTGTTTCCAAATTTGACGGCTCGGCTTCAGTTGAAATATCTGTTAGTCTCCTCTAAGTGTGCTCTACTGTACATAGAGTTTTCAAAGGCCAGTTATATTTTGGAAATAGATGGCCAATCCGTCTTCCTAACTTTCTTAATATGGATGCTTAGTGTTAGAACAATATCTGACAGACAAACATTTTTCCTAGGAGATGAAAGACCCTTACAGAAATAACCAATACATTCAACTGCCCCCACTCCCAGCACGTGTGAGTTGTTTCTTCCGTTTCCCTTCTCAATCCCATTCCTTTCACATCCGGCTACTTGGTCAAACCCCCCTTCCCCAGCCACCCCTTAATATGATCACAAGTCACTTCTGTAATGCCCTGCACTGCACTGTGCTACTGGTCTCTCACACTGTTGTCTGTCTCTTGTTTAGGAGGATGTACGTCCAAATACCATGTATCAACTTCAGAGAAAGATTTTTTGCTTGATGCATTACTGAGGAAAGGTCTTGGCCACAGAGCTTCTACTAAGTTTTGTGACTTACTGTCTCTGTGTACATTGCTGACACAACATAATAATTCCAAGGTCTGGTTTGGTCATTTCTAGATCTGATAGAGTGGTGGCTGTCAGGCCTGAAGCAGGTTTGAGACTGAAGATATCCTTTCCCAAAAGATGAGATTAAGGTAGCTGATACTTTTCTGGGAGAAAGGTCTTACCTGATCAAGGAGATTTGAGAGAGCTCTCAGATTCCACTTTGTGTGACTCTCTGGGTTCCCAAAGCTCTGTGTGTGTGTGAGGAGGCCACTCAATTTGCAGCCCAGACCCACCAGAAACAATGTCGCCAGACCAGAGTTAATTATAATCAAATGAAATCATAAGAGGAAACAGGTGAAGAAAGTAGTGAAAGAAAAAATATCTAAGTTTATACTCTTTTTTTATTCTATATTTTTAGTATTTATTGTTCTGTCATCTACATATGGTTACAATTTTTCATAGCCTGAGTAAAGCAGTTGCTGTAAGAGTTTTGGCATGTAAGTGGGGGAAAGGGTCCTTTGATCAACTTACAAAATTCCTTATTCAGAAGTTAGAATGATTCATTGCACATTGGTAATTTCATTTTGTTACAGGTATTTCTGCTTTTCGCATTTAGATTCACATAACAAATATTAGAATCCTAAGGGTTTTAGAAATATACGTTTGTTGAGTTTGTAATTTCTTTTTATTGTTGAAAATAGCAAAAATGATTCCCCAGGAAAATGGCATGAATGGTTTTGACATTAAAGAAGGTTTCTTCATTCTAAAGTTTTTTAGACTTTGACTCTTTTAATTTAATTTCCTAAACTCTTGCTTTCTTATGGATAATAATGTTTATCAAGCTAACTATCTGAAAAAAAGTTTATATTGTTGGCTAAACTCACACTCTGTGTGATTTTTTTCTATGTATGTGTTTTCCAATAGAAAAAAGAGAAAGCTTCTGTTATGATACAGAACAATGCTTATGCGGTGGCTGTGGCCAACTACGCCCCGAATCTCTCAAAAGATCCAGTTCTTTCCACCATCTCAAAGAGTGCCACCACGCCAGAACCCAACAAGAAGCCAGAGAACAAGCCAGCCGAAGCCAAGAAAACCTTCAACAGTGTTAGTAAAATTGACAGAATGTCTAGAATAGTTTTCCCAGTCTTGTTTGGCACATTTAACTTAGTTTACTGGGCCACATATTTAAACAGGGAGCCTGTATTAGGGTTCAGTCCTTGAACCAATACCCAGGGTTATCTTTGAGATATATAGCAACTTTAATCTCAGTTTGTTTTGCCATGTACAGTCTGACTAATAACTGCTAATTTGTGAACCAACATGTACAGTGTATATATAACGATGTAGCTTACCAGTAGATCTCTTAACGGAGTCACACATTTGCTAACTTATGAAACTGCAGACAGAGAGAACCTCATGCCAAAAGAGCCATTGCCTATTTTTCAAAGATTTGCTTTAGGAACTGATAGAAAGTGGGTTTCAGACATCTTGGTTTATTTCCTAACCCTTAGAACAGATAAAAATTGGGGATCTACACCACACTTTTATGGATCCCTTTTATTTAGGTATCAAATGTGAATATTTTCTACTGTTGCCTAATTATGATGTGTGGGAAGGCTTTTCTCAGTTTCAGAACCTGGTGGCTGCCACATCAGTCCTCTTCCAGAGTGCTCAAAATCCCTGCTCATGTAACTGGAAGCTTGGCACACATAAGATGAAAAACTAGAGAGTATTCAAAATCAGCTCTTAATTACTCCATGTAGTATCTATAGCCATGTACATAATACAGCATGACAAACTCAGATAATTACAGGAGTCACCCCTGACAGAATGTTAATTATACCTAGAATTTAATAACAACTGAAATGTCATGCTCATTACATTTTTAACTTCCCAAGCTTAGTCAAAAGTAAAAATTGAAACCTGATGAATTACTTTCATCATTGGAAACTCCTTTAAATTGGGGGAGGGGAGGTGAAGCGGCAGAATATCTTACTCTTTGCAGTTATTTATGGTACTGAAATAGATCAGCCAAATTTTCTTGGTGCTGGAGCCTGGAAACAGCATCCAGTGTGGCTGCTGTGGGACAACATTCATATTGGATTAGAAAATTGTGCCAAAAACTCCCACTGATGAGAATTCATAGGTGTCAGAGAATATCGATGTGCACTTATCTGATTCTCCTCATTCCTGTTTACTGCAAATTCTGCCTTAAGGCTTCTTTCCTTCAGGACTTAGAAGCCACCAATTCAAAAGGAAAGGGCAGTAAATTGGCACATTTTTCTGTCTTGCAAGCAGCTCTTTCAGTTAAGAATTAATGTAAATCTGCTTTTGTAAATTGCAACTTTCAATTTCACTGACTTAAATTTACAACAGCTTTGTATACCAGAGAGATTTTGGTTAGAGATAAACATTTTTAATCTGAAACTTTGAAACGTCACCAACAGATAATGAATTATTGAAAACAAACACACACACACACACACACACCTAAATTAGAATTATCAGGCACAAACAAATAGGTAGTTAAGTTAGAAGGCACACTCACACAAACAGGTAGCTAAGTTAGAAGTCACCATTTGTAACTTTATATGATTAGTATTTATTAAGGGATGAAATACACAGTCCCCTTAAAAAGATTACAGCCAGGAAAATGCTTGGAGACAGTTCTGCTCTGTCATACCTGGTCTCTCCAAGTCAGAATCAACTCAGTGGCACTCACCAACAAAATATGCTTCTTTTTTTTTAATGTTTGAAAAAAGCAGTCTTTATGCCCCTGAAATACAGTAATATAATTTAATAATTGTCCATCATGCCTGGAATAAAGTTTTGGGGAAACGTAAAATCCTTTTGATTCACAGAAACATTAGCAGTTATTAGTGGACTTTTAATAATAGATTTACCTTTATGATGGTGTCTTTGTAGAAACATAGTCAAATAGTGGAATTTCCTGCAGTTTTGTACAGTATTTGAGTCTAGTGCATAAATCAGTGTCTTCAAAAATCAATAAAAGGAGTATCTTATGGAAATAAGCAAAAATCACAGCAAAAATTGCCTTTGCCTTGTTTATTTAGTTTCTCTCATTTTTGTTTTACTGTGACTCCATTATGTGCTTTGCATGACTATATTAATGCCAAGGTCACAAATGCATTTAATGAAAAGAATTTGCCATGAAGACAGCCTTGACATTAAAGATCCCCTCACAAAAGAAAATTTATAACCCTAAATAAAAAATAAACATGTTCTATATGCCAGTAAATGTATTTCTTTAATTCCCTTCCAATAATAACTATTTGTTATCTAAATAGTTTAAAATATGCACTTTAGTCATGTGATGACATAGAAAATATCCTATTTCTAAGATGCATTAGTCTAAGTATGTAATGCTTGAAGGAAAGCAATAAAAGTGCTTTTTAAGGTTTGAATCTATTAGACATGATTAAATTTTCTATGTAGGTTTTGCATTTCCCCATAATGTCTGACAATAAACTATACATTTATAAATATGTACATATGTAAAAATAGTTGTAAATACCAACTTCCGTAGGACAACAAGACTCGCCTCTTACCTTTGACATAGAACTGCATTGATGACCCCAGTTTTAATAGTGTTTATGGAAGATTGGCCAGAAAAGTTTCTGTCGTTTCTGTCACTTCTTATTTGTAGTTGCAATTGTTAAAATCGTATTTGAGCATTATAACGTGCTAATAATTCAGATATTCCAATAATGTGAACAGGATTTCCTGTTATTTTTCTCAATATTGGTGGGGTTTTTTCCCCCAACACTGATTCTCTTTATTTTAAATAAATCAAAAGCAGCTTTTGCTCCTGATAGAGAGAGGATGCCCCCTGAGAAAATTATTTCATAAAGCAGTTACTTTTAATGATTATTTTCATTTCCACAAACCAATTTAAAAACGTAAGTCTTATGGATTTGCCAAATTCAAGGTAATTTTTTTTTCTGGAAATGAATTTTTAGTATCCTAACATCAATCTCATTGGCCCAAAAGTATTCCCCTTATTTCTTGTAGTGTATATCTACATAAAGAGTTATGTTCTGTATAAAATATAGATAAACCTTAGATGTACATATATAGAGGTTTACGTAATGTTACTGTATAACTGTGGCTCAAATTCAACGAATATTCAGCAAATGTTTTGCTCGTCTTCTATGTGTCATTCTCAGCAGCTGTTTTCTGTCCACTCATATTGCACTCACAGAATTGAGTTTAATAATAAAGTGCATCTCATCTTACAAAAGACTTGAAATCCAATATGAAGTGTGTAAACTTAGCACCAAGAGTTTCTTTCTGAGCTGTGACATCACTAATGTGCTAAGGTGGTGGCTTTTTGCTCTTTTTCTGCTGTCCATGCTGTTCTTTGAATATAAAATGAGAGTTAATATGCCATTTAATAAATTTTTTAAAACACCAATGATTTCTAAAGTGCCAATTGTAATGTTTAGTGCTTGTTTCAGGGAGTGCTCTCTTTCCAGTTATCTCAGGGTTGGACAAGTGAGCCCCTGGAGCCATGTTTCTAAATCCTTTTTTTAAAAAAAATAAATGATTCAGAATTTGTTTTAAAAATCACGAAAGATATTTCACTCATATGTTCTGTAAATGTATGTATATCATACATGTATTTAGAGGGGCTCTTTTTGTCTTACTGGGTGAGGAAACTGAATTCATGGTTGTCTCGGGAATTCAAGAAAGCTGTCAAAGTGTTAAAAACACTGCATAGAGACACAGTATTCTATTTTAAAATTGGTTTTCATTCAATCACTTACTTACATTTTGTCTTACAATATCAGATGCAGTTGTCCAGTGCTGTTATTTACAGTGTCTCATCGAAACCTTGGTCTACATTTCCCTTCACCCTTCTCTTCCATTTGCTAATCTCTGCTTCCTCTCTGTCTACTTCTGGAATCAATCTTCCACCAGAGACAACATTCCACAGTTGTTTCTAGCAGTGTTCTAACAAAAGGAGAAGAGCGGTAGCTCACATCACCTGCATTCTTGTAGTTCTCCAGTATCTATTAAGAATTTTTAGTTCACATGCTCTGTGCTTGATGCCCTCATGCAATACCCATGAAACAAAAATACTTCGTCATTCGAAATCTAGGCCAACATAAATATGTTTATTACAACAGGTTGGTATTAGTATTAGCTTTTTAAGTCCCCTAAATTCAGCTGCGTATTTTTTATCTGTTTCATGTGAAAAGACAGAATTACAAAGGAATTATGAGCTGGACTATTACTGATCTGTAATGACACTAACTGAGATCTCATGTGCACCTTGGGCTTTTTATTAATGCAAAACACAAAGAAGCATAAGCTCTAAATGGGGGAGGGATGAGTAATTATTTTTAACATCTGCATGCTTAGAGACCATAACTACTATATCAAAACTAATCATTGGAGTGTGGACAAGAAAAACCATGATTAATGTTGTTTTATTTCTCTCTCTATTTAGTACAGATAGTATTTAATAAAGTTCTGTAACATCCATAAAACTCATGTCACCAAAGTTTGTATTTGGATAGAGATATTTCCATTGATGATTTAAAGATTGTTATTTTTATCAAAATAAAAGATAAATTCAGTACTTCCAAAACCAGAATAGACATTTCTTAGAAAACCACTCCAAAGTTAAGGTGTTACTAATTAAAACAAGTAAATTGTTTTCTTTGTTGTTGTTGTTGTTGTTTACACTTTATTACATCAAATGGACTTTGGGGGACAGTGGGGCGCACTCAGTCCTTCTTGGCAGCCGCCTTCCTCATGGCAGCCAGGACGTTGCTGAGTTCTCCCTTCCTCTTGGCGCGGATGTGTGTCCCCACCCTTTTCTTGATGAACTTGAGGGTCCGCTTGTCCTTGGAGACCTTGAGCAGCTCTATGGCCCGTCGCTCTTAGGGCGCGAGGCCACACACCTCCCGGATCACGTCCCACACGAACTTGGTGTGCTTGGTGAGACGCCCGCGGCGGCGGCTGTGCCTCGGCTTGCTCACGTTCTTGGTGAGTTTGTGGCCCTTGTTGAGGCCCACGGGCCATAGGGTACCGCACTGCCATGGCTGCTGCATGTCTATGGCTGTTTTCTTTTTCTTAATTTTAAGAAAAACAGGAAGTTATTAATGTATATAAAAGCTATTTTAAAGTCAAGATAAAACTTACTAAATTTATTTAAAAGACATTTGGGGAAAGCACAATCATGTATCACTACATTTTCTTTAAAATTTGTATTTATTAGCATATTTTAGACAATCATCCCTTAAATACTAGTTAAAATTCTCCTTTATTAGTTTTTATAAAAACGTTTTCTTATATAAGCCACTGTTTGCCCAATTAAAACCACTCTTTGCCTCTTTTGTAGTTGATCCTTAACAACAGCTTTTATGTTTAAGTTTACAATAATTTTGTCTCAAAAACTTTAATAATATTTGAGTCGAGGGACCTCTGATCTTCATGTCATGAGTGAAATTCTACTTTCGCAAGTGTAAAATAATTTTTTTACAAATAAAAATATTTTTGAAAGCCATCATTATGTAGCTTTAACTATAAGAATTAAACTAATTTAATACAATAATTTTTATAAATAATACATAACAAACTTAATAATTAGGATTTACTTTGGAGACCTGACATGATTTGAAATCTCTTTTTAGATGATACAGATGTTTTCCTAATGTGTTGGTTCTGTTGTGAGGTAATCCATGTCATTTCTTATTGTCAGTGTTTTGTATCTTCTCTTTTTTTTTTAAGTTTTTAGTTTGCTCTTTTGAATCATAACACTTAAAATAGTTTCTTGATTATGATTTGTAAGATAAGAGCTCTGGTGATGCAGTAGTTCAGTGTTCACCTGCTAACCAAATGGTATCTAATTTATAAACCTAGAAGCTGTTACACAGAAGAAAGATGTGGAAGTTCCCATAAAGATTTATACCCTTGGAAATCTCTGAGGA